CCTGGGAAATTGAAGTCAGGCACCCAATCTAGTGACCTAGATACAATACAAAACTTGTATTTGCAACCAATTACATAACATTAATTATTTCACAATAAAAGCACAGCTCATAAATAAAATAAACTTTACTTGTATAATAATGTAATCACATCTATGGTAGTTCATACCTTGAACATAATTATTTTCTTGAGCTCTTGTTTGTCCAACTTTCAACATGTTTTGATTAATATCACAAACAACAACATGGGATGAATTATCAGATGGAAATACTGATGTTGGGACTTCCATCCTCTGTTTCCCTTCCCCCTGCTGGTCTATTTCACTCAATGAATCATCAGCACTTTGATATTTTGCAAAGTCTAAAAATCTGAATGCAATATCACCTGAAATGCAATGCAGAATTTGATTTATTCAATTTGAGTTGCTGTTTTAGTATAGATTATTTTCTGTTTAGTCTGCTCAAAGCTGCAAATTTGAAGAGGCTTTCACATTTTTTTTTAATTCTTTTTATTTCTTCCACATCAAATATATAAGTTTACTTACTAAAACAAACTAATTATACGCATTTGAAAGTGAACTTTGTTTTAGTCATAAGACATAAAATTTAAAATCAGTAGACTTGTGATTAAATTACAGGGAATTTACCCACCAAGGTACAGCTATCAATTGAATGCATTAAATCTAACCTAAGTACAATAATTTTCCATTGAGTATACGATACATGCTCTACTAATTGCTTTATAAGTCAATCAATAACCAACTGTTGTAGCAGTCATCTGTTGCTATAGTGATATGATCAGTATACGTGTGCGTATTTACATTTAGCTGTGCGTATGCTGATTTTTGCTCCTGCAGTACGCGTTTAATTAACTGCACATCAGCAGTACAGAATGGATACGATGAATAACTATTGTGTTAGAAAGAACTTGTTTGTAATGCTGTTTTAATAGACTTTCGTCATTCGTCTTTCAGCATTCGAGAGAGAATAAAGTCACTAACGTCCTTTTTGGTCAGTGCATGCAGACAGGTAAAATCGTGCGATGATTTCATAACTAGACTAGGCTACGGCCTAGGCCCTAGTAGTAGTAGGATTGAGGCCCGGGCGCCCTCCTGCCTGGCCATAGGCCTACATCTAAATTTGTTCCTTGAGTCTTTAAAATAGGTCTAAAATATTCCTATTAAACGTTCAGTTTGTTGTGTTTCTGAGGGTCAATTGATTCAATGAATTCCTTATTTGTTCAAACTTAATATTGAATTTGAAGTAATTTTCTTTGGGTTCTAATTAAGCTTGTTTTACGAAAGTAATTTTCAATTGCAATTCAATTTTTTTCCACAGTGCGCGATGTATTTGCGATGACAAAAAAATAGGAAATTTTTTTGCACACTAACCTAAAAAAAATCAAGCCAAGCGTCCACTAATAGAAAAATTAGTGGACATTAGTGGGGAATAGGCCAGTAACATTGGGAGTTACAGTGATGAAGTTACGATTGACTTATAATACATATTTAGAACCCGAAGAAAGTTACTTCAAATTCAATATTAAGATGAACAATTAAGGAATTCATTGAATCAATGGACCCTCATAAACACAACAAACTGAACATTTAATAGGAATATTCTAGACCTATTATAAAGACTCAAGAGACAAATTTAGATGTAGGCCTACGGCCAGGCAGGAGGCCGCCCGAGCCTCCTCCTACTACTACTAGGCCGTAGCCTAGCCTAGTTATGAAATTTTTACTTGTCTGCATGCACTGACCAAAAAGGACGTCAGTGACTGTATTCTCTCTAAAATGCTGAAATGTTCATTTCTTTGACAAAAGTCTATCAAAATAGCATTACAAACAAGTTCTTTCTAACACAATAGTTATTCATCGTATCTGTACTGCTGATGTGTAGTTAATTAAACGCGTACTGCAGGAGCAAAAATCAGCATACGCACAGCTAAATGTAAATACACACACGTATACTGATCATATCACTATAGCAACCGATGACTGCTTCAACAGTTGGTTATAAAAAACTAAAATTAAAAGACGGCGATTGACTTATAAAGCAATTAGTAGAGCATGCATCATACACTAAATGGAAAATTATTATACTTAGTTTAGATTTAATGCATTCAAAAATTTTTCCAAGCATTAAATCTAACCTTCGTATAATAATTTTCCTATAGTGTACTATGCGGAGCTCTACTAATTGCTTAAAACAGTACAGTATATGAGAAAAAGCAGAGAATTAGTAAAGCCAGTAAGAAAAGAAGAAGAATGAGGTCCTAATTTGGTTCTCATCTATCATTATGCTGGTATTGTAATACTTTAATGAATTTAAAATACACATGGCAAAGTAGAAAAACATGGTAATTACAACTGCCGAACTGTTGGAAAACACACTATACATGTAAAGAGGATTGTACAATGATGTAAAAGATAAAAAAAATATTTTAAATATAGAGACAGATAAAAGTGGGAACTAGAAACTTATAACCTGTGCCACCGGCTACATCTAGAAGTTTTGTTCCAGGTGTTGGATGTAAAACACTCATAAAACGATCTTTCCATAATCTGTGTATTCCACCACTCATTATATCATTCATAGTGTCATAGGTCTCCGCAACATTTTTGAAAACTTCAAACACTGTGGATAAAAAAAAACACACATTTTTTTTAGATTACGCATTATTACGCACAAGTTATCAATATCAGACTGAGCCTTCTTACAATATGTTTATAGCCCTATGTACGTGTTAATTATTACCAGAGTATTGTTTTAGTTGGTGTGTGCCCTCACCAGTAGCAGCTTTAGGATATATTTTCTGGGGAGGGGGAGGACAGGGGGCTGAGCTGTCCAACAGGGGGACTTTACTTGGGCTCATAGGTCCGAGCTGGTGTAAGGGTTTGAGAGGGTGTTCCCCTCCCAAATGAGATTTTTTTAAGAATAGGCTCTAGATGGTCAGAAATGTGTAGATTAAACGAGAACTTACCTGTTCGAAGTTTCATCGATATTTCATGAAGTAATTTTAGTGGTAGAGATTATGTGAGATTCGAGCCTAGCGCATGCGCAGATCAGCATTGAACACAGTGGAATGAGCTTAGAGATCCCAAAAAGTACTACATCCCGAGGGTGGGAGAGGAGGCACATAATCTCTACCACTAAAATTACTTCATGAAATATTGATCAAACTTCGAACAGGTAAGTTCTCGTTTAATCTACACATTTCATTTCGTAATTAGTGGTAGAGATTATTGTGAGATGTTAAAAGCATGTGAGGTCATTCCACTAAAAAACACAAAACAAAGAACCCGACCACACACTGGAGTTCTGAGTTCATCTCAACGTAAGCGTTTAATATCAAAAAAATATCGTCAAACCAGTTACACCTAAACATCATTAACCAATGGTTTATTGTAAAACCCCTGTAGAGTTTTCTCACTCGACCAACCGGCTCGTTTCATTATCTCTGGGATAGGCACCTTATCCCTTACCGCTGCCGACGCAGCAGCCGATCGAACTGAGTGAGGTTTGAAACTGATATCTATACCAACCGCCTCTAATGCTTGCTTTAGCCAGTGAGCTAGTGTATCCTTGGCCGCCTCACTGTGAGGTTTTTTCCAACATATGAATAATTATGCTTGTCCTGGTAACCTTAACGTTTCTGTTCTACTTAAGTAAGCCCTGAGAGTAGTCACCGGACAAATAGCTGGTTCTTCATTAACAGCCTTTAATTCTATGACATGACCACAGTTGCCTGGTTTTGAGTGCTTTAATAAGTCATCTATAACAAATACAACCTTATCATCAGATATCGACATGTTCTGGAGGGTCAGCTTGTGAATAGTCTGTAACCTACTTGTGGACAGTAATGTAATTAGGGTGACTGTTTTCATGGTGAGTTCTTTTAACACGATATCATCATTATTCAAACCCCTTAAATAATTCAATAAAATGTTGATATCCCAAGTATGAGTATACCTAGGTTTGGGAGGTCTCAGGTTAAAGATTCCCTTCATGAGTCGCTTGATGATGTTAGAATCCAATGACCGCCCTGTCATTTCTAGGTATGCAGATATCGCGCTCCTTGCTGTACCTATCGCACTATAACTTAGCCCTCTTTGAAACATGTCGGTAAGAAAATTCAAAATATATCTCTCCTCTGCCAGAACTGGGTTAATGCCTATCTTCCTGCAAAATTTTACCCATTGGCTGAAATAACCGTTGTATTGCTTCCTAGTACGAGGTCTCCATGATGATATAATTATGTCGATTGTGTCCCGCCGGATACCTGCTTCTACAAGTGCTTTCCTGATATCCTGCAAGCAATTAAATTTAATTTGTTGTAAATAGGGTGTATTTTCATTGTCATTGGGAGTATCAACGTTTCCGTTGAGTTTGGAAGTTTGATGGGCTTGTCAACCAGAAGTTGTAACAATCTGGCAAACCAAGCTTGGGTTGGCAATTTTGGGACGATTATAATTCCCTCTGCTTCATCTTCGTACACCTTTTTTAGACATCGATCGATTAAGCAGAAAGGGGAGAATGCATAAAAATAATATTGCGCCCAATTCAACGAAAATGCATCAGATTCAAATGCCCCTGGGTCTGGGTGCCATGCAACAAATTTCTCTACAGTACTTGTGCATTCAATCTTGATGCGAATAAATCTACCTCTGGTCTCCCAAAATGCTCAAAATTAGATTTTATATGTTTGGGATTGAGTTTCCATTCAAGCTCCTCCTCAAATTTTCTAGATTTGACGTCTGCAGTTACATTATTTTTCCCAGGTAAATGAACTGCCGAGAGCCATAGTCTTCTCTCTATAGCCCAGTCCCATAGAGTCTTGGCAAGTCGATTACACATATCTGAACCAGTGCCCCCCCATATTATATTATTAATATAGGTAATTGCTGTAACATTATCAAGTTTCAGTCTTATATGCGAGTCCGTCATGTTTTTACAGAAGGCTTTTACATTTAGGAAAGCAGCCAAAAGCTCTAAGTAATTTATGTTAATGTCAATGGAGTTGTGATCTTCCTCCGACCATCGACCACCTATGGCGGTTGTCCCATTAAAACCACCCCATCCATCGCCGCTAGCATCAGACTCAATGGTCAGAGCCGGGTTGGGTTTTTGGATAGCCCTAGTCATAGTCGAACAGTTTTGTTCCCACCAATTAACTTCATCCTGTAGCCAAACTTTTTGTGGCCGAGTTAACTTGCTGTCTCTTATACACATCTAGACAATATAGCAAGCCAGCTTCCGAATAGACAGTGATTTAGTTTTCCTTAGGTCTTGTGAGAACGAGATAATTTCTTGTATTCTTATATTATTCAACCACACTGTCATGTTGATGGAATTAATAATGCAACCTAAGAATTGTATTTCTTGAACAGGAGTTAACACTGATTTTTCTGAATTAATAATAAGCCCCAATTTACTAAACAATTTTATGGCTTTCTCAATATCCCCTAAGGCTGTGCTATGAGCACTAGAAATTAGTAGGTTATCATCAATATATGCAATAATAACCAAAACCGTATTCTCTTAGTATTTTAGTGAATATTCGTGGACCTGAAGCCAAACCATCTGGCAGACTTGTGAACTGTCAAAGCTTATTATTCCAAAAGAATTTATAATATCTACGGTGTTGTTCATGGATCGGCACAGAATAAATATGCGTCTTTTAAGTCGATGGACGTAAAGTAGCAATTTTTTGTGACCACTGCCTTTCAATGGAATCCATTTTAAAATGATGGTATTGTATATTGTCTTTTAGCTCTGATAAGTTAAGAATCATGCTCAGGCTTTTGTCTTTTTTAAACCTGGTAAATATATTAGAAATGAACTCTCCATCCTCATGAAAGGTCAACTGTATGACCCCTATATTTTTTAACTTTTCAATTGTCGCATTTACAACAACCTTTTCATGTTTTGATAATTTGTAAGGGTGTGGAATTCTGGCTTGTATAGGTGGTATGCCTTTAACAAATTCTAACTTGCACCCCTTGACAATCTGCAATATACCAGGGTCAGAAGTCATTTTTCCCCATTCAGCTATATGACCCTTTATGCGTCAAACAATTTGTATCGGTGTTGACATAAAGCTTACCTGTTCCAGGTTTATGCTTTTTTCCCCGATATCTCCAGCTTCTCCTTCCTGTGAGAGTAAAGGTTGATCTGGCTCTGGCGTCTCCCTAAAAAAGACTTCCCCTGGAAAGATTTGAACTTATTGTTATTATTGGCGAATGATCTTCCTGAGCGTCACTTGGCGTTTCACCCAGCCTTGTTACAATTGCAGTTATGCCTGCGATAAGGCTTTTCTGGATTCGTTGGAATTTCAAATCCGTAGACCTTGACGAATGCAGTATCCCATCCCATATGGATTGGTTCACCTGGGGAACAACCAATTCTGGTGTGTTCGCCGGGGCTGAATATTTCGCTTGAGTTTCCTCAATGATTTTTTCATTTAGTTTTCCAGAAATAACCACAGTTTCCTCAATGATTTTTTCATTTAGTTTTCCAGAAATAACCACTGTCACTGTTTCAGCTACTGTTGTTGGGACATTCAGGGAGGAAGGCCCATCACACATGAAACGGTTCATTACTCTTGGTTTGTTAGTGGGCCTAGGAAGGTTTTCCCCTTCCGCATCGCTAACAGTCATGATGTCATCATCATCCTTAAACAGGTTGTCATCACCATTGACTAACGAGTCCTCTTTATTATCCTCACCAAGGTTAAGGATACTACAGTTGTCATCCTCGTCATTGTTGTTATTATTAAAAATCAATTGCTGTGTCAGCAATTTTAACTGGGTCTCTATTGAACTCAGTCATTCTTCCTGCCCACTTTTTGAAGAGTGTCTCTTCTTTTTTGATTTTGGGGTGTCCCCATCATCATCATTCGCCTTATTATTGTGACTAAGAGTGTCTCCCTTCATCACCTTAATAGTACTAGGCATAGGACGCTTTTGCCACATCTTCGCCCCTTCAGCAGGCCGAATGAAATCGGTTATCTCACCGAGGTCAAGACCAAGGTCAATTTCGTCGTGGTCGACGCCGCCTGCCTCCTCCGCGTGAACTTGATGAGGTTGTACACGTTCCATTCTAACTAGCCTAAAGGTGAGAAACACTAGTATACTCACACGTAGGTCATCTATATGTCCTATATAACATTTGTTGATTTTTCACTCCTTCCCGCAAAGAAACAACATATTCAAATGGAATTTTAGCTGCAGCAGAAAAAACCTTATCGACTGACGCGCACGCTTCTGCTCACTGATCTGCGCATGCGCTAGGCTCGAATCTCACAATAATCTCTACCACGAATTACGAAATGAAATGATACTCTCTGATTGTGACAGACATGTGTTGGCTTGGCATCAGAGAGGCCTAGGGCCTAGGTCGGGTGCAGGTCAACTCGGCCACAAGTCAACTCGGCCACAAATCAACTCGGCCACAAAAAGTTCGGCTACAGCCAACTCGGCCACAAGTCATCTCGGCCACAAGTCAACTCGGCCACAAGCCAACTCGGCCACAAGTCAATTCGGCCACAAGTTATTTAATGTAAATCTATGTTTTTTTTGCATCCTTTTTCTTCAATATATGATTGAAATAAAGTACACAGTATGTTTTAGTAAAACAGGACCACCACACTACCAAAAGAGATTTGAATGCTATTGCCTATGAATTAAAAAGAGTTATTTATTAATGTGTTCGTCTTCTGTTTACTCACAACATTCTACTTCAACAAATATTAAACAACAATAACGACAATAAATTAGTAATATTTACATTAATAATACTAATTAGTCATTATGACGATAATAAAGGTGGTGATAATAACAACAACATTAATATTAATATTTATTTTAATAAATAGTAATAATACTAGTATGGTAATAATAACGATATATAAATATCAATTTTAATAACAGTGATAATTAGTGATAATTATTAATAATAATAATAATATGAGAAAAATACTAATAAAACACCAATAACAACAACTTTTTAAATTACTATTATTAAAATTATAATACTAAGACTAATAAACAATAATAATAATAATAAAAAATCGAAAATGTATTATTATTATTATTTATATGGTACTGTAATAATAATATCAGCAAAAATTTGAACAATATATAATGTTAATGCTAAGACTAATAATTAATATTAAAACTAACGGTAATAAAAACAATAATAATAACAATGACAACAATAATAACAGCAATAATAATAACAATTAGTACAATGTAGTACCAGTAAATAACTTGTGGCCGAGTTGAGTTGTGGCCGAGTTGAGCTGTGGCCGAGATGACTTGTGGCCGAGTTGACTTGTGGCCAAGTTCACTGTAGCCAAACTTTTTGTGGCCGAGTTGACTTGTGGCCGATTTAACTTGTGGCCGATTTAACTTGTGGCCGAGTTGACTTGTGGCCGAGTTGACTTGTGGCCGAGTTAGATCGAATTCCCTAGGTCTAGAGGCTAGCACTACTACTACTACTACTCTCTCTACTAGGCTACACTAGGCATAGCTCTAAAAAGTGGGCCTACATATTATAAACCAACCTTTCTCTTCTTTCTTCTTTTTAGACATGCGTTGAAATCCAAAATGTGTGTCGGTCTCAATTGATCGGTTTTCATCTCCCTTCGTCTCTGTTGAAGTTGTAGTACAATAATTTAAAGGCTTGCAGCGATTTTTAAAATATAAATTGTTAAGAAGCCTAGCAAATCTAATTCCAATGGGCGCAGCCATTGTTAGGCTAATGCATAATTGTTTTAGCAAAATACAGTTAATTAAAATTAAATTTAAAATTTTAGATATAGAAAAATATAATATTATGTGTCTTAAATATATTGTAATAAAATATAAAGAGTGTATAGTTATAAATGCAATATTTGTATGTTAAATGTGCGGTAAATAATACATTTCTTAAAGTTAGTCGTAATTCCCGATAGATGGCGGTGTTGAGTTCGCAGCATAGTAGCTAGAGGTTCGCAGTGACAGCGCACAGGCGCAGTGAGAAGTTCACGCATAGATGAACGTGCGAATAGTCTCTTCCAATCAAAAATGTAAACATTAGAAGAAAAGGTTTTTGCTAAGAATAAGATGGTGCAGGAAGTAGAATGCTTTTTTGGTGTCTATCTTTTAAAAAATGAGAACCCAAAGTACAAGGGGCGCACATACATCGGGTATACAGTTAATCCAAGTAGAAGAATTCAACAACACAACAAAGGGTCAAAATTTGGAGGAGCAAGAAGGACAAGTGGTAAAGGACCATGGTTGGTGAACACAATCCCTATACAGTATATACTTATACTGTAGCACTACTACTATTACAACTAACTTAGTCTATTCTAAATACTGAGATAGTATTTGTTTGTAGTGGATATTGTTACACCAGTCATCATGTCCATTGATAATTCTGATTTGATGTTCTGTATCATCATTGGAATGGACAACAGCCAATAGGAATTGAGAATTGGTTTAAAAAACTAGTGTAACAATACTATAGTCACAGGAATTAAAGAACAGTTTACTGTTATTTCGACATGCTATCAATAATGATATTGCCATAAATATTCTAAACCATCCAGAAAACAAAGAAATGTAAATTCACATAAATATGCTACAATTCAATGTTGCACAGAAAATTATAATATTAATAAAACACACCTTCTTGCCTAAAAAAATAGGTGATTGGAATAACCTTCCATATGAGGTTGTCCAGTCTAAGACATTAACTTTTAAACCAGCTCTTTGGCAGGTTCCTTAAAAAATGAAATTAATCTGAACTTTTTAGAATGAATAAACTTCAAATAAATCTGCAAAACACATTGGGTGAAAGTGCTGAATTTACCAGTGATGCCCAATTACCACTGAGATTCTGCCTAAATAATGATATAAAAATAACTGTAGTATTAGTATACTAGAGTAGTGATTTTTGTAAAAATATGTTTTTAGATGGAATATTTAATAGCAGATTGGATTTACTTTGCTGATTTCAGAATTGCTTCACATCAGGTTATACAATTGTGTATACACTTTTTTTTCAGGCAAATGGTTTTAATAATCCATGGGTTTCCAAATGACGTTTCAGCATTGAGAGTAAGTCTAAATGCCTTTGTACTTTTTGTGTTTTACACATTGAATTCAAAAGTAAAATATATGATTTCATAATTCAGTTATCTCCATTCAATTGTAGTTTGAGTGGTCCTGGCAGCACCCAAAATCTTCACGCCGATTGAAAACACTTAGTGGAAAATCGTCCAAAGAGAGCCAATTTAATTATCGATTTCGCATATTGAGTAATATGCTTAGAACAGCGCCATGGTCTCGTCTACCGTTGACAGTTCGTTGGCTAAAACAAGAATATCAAGTAGACTTTGCAGATAATTTGCAGCCTCCTGCACATATGCCAATGGCATATGGCTTAGTCAAGAGTATCAAAGTAAGAAACACCTTCCGAACATGACAATGGGACATGTCTTAGGCAAGAATATCAGTAAGAAACACCTCCTGCACTTATGCCAATGGCATGGGTTAGTGAAGAGCATTTTTTTTTTTTGTACAACTGATTTTTATTAGACAATAAAGGGTGTTTGACAAAAAACTCAGGAACGGTAATAATGAGATGCAGATTTTTGAATATTTAAAAAGGGGCGTAACCACCTTTTTTTCTCTGCCTATAAGATATTTCAGTTCGTATGGTTTGTGATACTGTACTTTATCATAATATTTACGAATGTACTGTACCAATTTAGGTAGCTAAGAGTCCAAAGAAAAAAGGCAAAGGTGACTCAGATGCAGCAAAGGGAGACAAACATGAAGAAGTAGATACATTATCTCAGTCCAGTCAATCAATCAATAAGTGCAGATGTCAAGTGTGTGTCAAACGAATTCAGGTAATATTTTACACTTAATTTATAATTTGCAACATTTGTTTCTTTTTAAAAACCTGAACAGTATAACAATAAATAAATGTACACCATCATAAGATAAATATTAACAGCTTAGTTGCTTGGGACAAGTGGAATAGATTGCTATAGTTCTCCAGAAGATAATACACTTATTCTTAATATGTTTGTATGTGTATTCCTATATAAGTTAAGTATATGTGTTGTTGTATGAATGCGGTTTGCTTTCGTGTCTGTGCGAGTTAAATGCAGATACGATAGATCTGCAAATGCAGAGGAGATAGGTCTATACATTGGGGAGTCGGGTGAGAGAAAAAACATGTTTAATATTGTCACAACGAGCTATAGACTGTCCCTGATGATAAATCATGTCAGGCTGCCTCGTATGATGCCGAGTTGGCCGTATTAGTCGTACAGTTTTGTTATAAGTGTATTGCATTTCCAGCATATTAATTAATTACTAATTAACAAAAATAATTTTGTCAATTTAAGCCTACAGATAATGTAATGTCGTGCCTATACCCCAGATGCTCAATGGTAGCACATGTGATTTGCATTGCAAATGTATTTCTCCGCAATACAGATGAGCTGTTACCTGTACAGGGTACCTGTCCTTTGTGCAGGCAGCAGCTTCTTTGGGGAGATTTGGTGAGAAAAAAGAATGGATGCTATGAAGAAATGGAAAACATGGTAATTATGTTTCAATAGATAATAAATGAAATAATTGGAATCAGGAATAATTTTATATTACTAATAACAACAACAATGGTTGTATGATCTAATTATTATTTTTGATGATTTTCAAGAAAGATATATTATACAGTCCTTGCAAAAAGGCTGCATGTTGTGAGGTACTGGGGTGGGTCCATTTTTTTTGGGGGGGGGTCCCCCTAGAACCCCCTTCCCCGTTTGAATCCGCCATTGCAAATGCTTTGAGACCTTCTTTAATTGTACAATCTACTAAAAAAATATTAAATATTATTTGCAACTTTTAATTTACTCTCCATAAGGTAACACTTTTTTATTTAAATCGTCAGAACAAAAAAAAATAAAAATTAAATTATGTTCTTTCTACTAAACGAAGTGATGTTTTTTTTTATATATTTCAGACAGAGGATGTATGGGATGGCCACTGGTCTCAAGCTCTTCAAACATAACAGTATTCAGCTTTCGCATTAAATTTAAATGTTTACAACTGCTGATAATGTAAATTAAGTGGTGTTGCAATTTGCCGATTGAAGATGATTGCCTTCTAATCCCATGGTCCTGGGTTTCATTCCTGTCAGTGTTGAAGGATATTTTATAACTCCAAATCCTAAAGCTTAATAATCCGACTTTAGTCTTGAGGAAGGGAGTGCTACCTACTGTAATAAATAGGGCAGCAATTAAGCTTGCTATTGGTAATTATTTATATTTCGGATTTTATTGTAAAACATTTTCAGCAATTGGCTGCTGTTTTGTATTTGTTGTACAGTATACTGAAATAAATTAAAAAAAAAAAAATTATTGGCCCATGTGCCTACAATAAGAATTAATGGATGTACAGTAAATACAATAAAGAAATAAATTAAATCAGACATATTTATTGTGTAGTGAGGTGTAGTTTTTATATACAACTTGTCTGTTCTTCATAATACACAATGAAACCCATTAGTCCATCTGTCAAGTGCATACAGTAGGTACAGTACTTTGTTTACAAATTTATCTACCAATTATCATTCATTAAATGATAAAGCAGACATTACAGAAAGACACACAGCACCTAATATTAAATATCCAATCAAATTTATGATTTTATTTTTTACACTATATAATCAACATGAGAATTTGAATGTGAATGACGGTAAAAGTTTAAATTCCAGAATCTAAAAACCGCAAGGAACACAACATCCAAGTTAACTCAGCAGATTCTTTAAATGTTCTTTCATTAGATGATGATAATGATGCATCTTTATCTTCTTAGTATTTGCAGTTCCACAGATTGGTTTACAGTTTGTTCAGTTATTGCAAGTCTGGTGTCTTCATTGATAAAACTAAATCCAGCTACAGCATGCCAAAAGAAAGTCCTGAAAATCTTGATACAACAATAAAGGCTCTATATAGCTGTTTATTCATCATCATCATCTCTTTCTGCAGCTCTCTTTTCTACATCCGGTTTTATATGTTTCCATAATTTCTGGGGAAAAAAAGGAAACTTTAAATAAAACATTATTCAAGTTTGGCTCTGCTAAACTATTATCCAGCCAGTGGAACATCCTCCTCCTGTCCTGTTTGTACCGAGGAAGGCAAATGTAGCCTACAGTACTGTATTGCATTGAATATTTTAAAATGAATCTGAAAAAACAATCCTCTTTTTTACAATATTTTATCCAGTCTTGACAGACGCTTAATCCCCTGCCCCGACCGATAGCGCCGCCACTGCCAGCCGTAATTAGTTAGCTCAACAAGGTGAATAATGACGATGATGGCTTCACATTACAGTAATAATATATTTCCTCCATGTTCTACCTACCTTGATCTTGATCTTGATAGGGTAATTGAAAAACTAAGGCTGGAGTATCACTCAATGTTTGAATAGTGGTGACGGAGGAGGGACTAGTCGGAGTTACCAATAAGACCTACCTGGATCTACCTGGATTTCGAGACTTTAAGCTTAGAGCTTTTGTGCCCCTCTTGACTTGTTAAACATCTGCTTGGGTACGTATGGGCTGTACTGTACCTCAATGGATGGTCAGACCAGTACTTTTTGAATTGCGACTTGAATTGGTTTACAGTTTAAGTATATATTATTACATAACTGAGCCTCAGCTCTGACCCGACCTAGCCTACCCGAGTGAGTAGGCATAGGCCTAGCATACTAGTAGTAGGCAGGGCCTTAGCTAGGTAGGAGAAATATGATAGGCCCAAGCCATATCAAGGAGTCTAGCTAAGCTAGGCCTAGCTTAGGCAGAACACGGGTGGTCACACTGGTGTGGGACCGTTTTGGCCGCGATGGTGGAGGAACACATTTTATAATTCATGATTTTATACCGGCCGGCCGGCATTTATTAAATATTAGGCAAGAATAAACCACATTCTACGAGTAAACTCACCCCTTTATTGATATGATCGTATAGAGAATCAACTCCTGAATCAAATGTTCTTTCAAATATTACAGCTCCAACAATAATAGTAAGAAAAAACGTTGAACTTTTACGTAAGAGGGCATTGTACACCGTACTCACGAACGCCATTTTGATTTCTATAATCTTTGCCTTCTTCTGCGCATGTACAATAATCTGCAAATTTTAAAGATGATAGTTCAAAGTTCACGTAACATGTGCGTTCAGTCACAGTTGTTACTTTATTATTATTGTTTTAGCGACAAAATATGAGGTGAGAATTTGGATTTTTAAGAAGCATCTGGTTTATCATATTTCAAATTTACTTTATTATTTTCAAATACTACAAAAACTGACCGTAGGGTAGGAATTAGCATGGCATTCAGTAGGATAGGCTAGCTAGGCCTAGGCTAGGCCCTAGGCCTCCGGGGTGTCAATGTCATACACATGACGTCATTCAATGGTAGGTAAACCCCTTTTACTGCGGGTTGTGAATGCAATGTTGCTTGGTGACGCGCATAATCTTATGGCCTACCGTAGATGATCGATTATTTAAAATCATCTTTATAATCAAATTTTTTGTAGTAAAATGTCTGCAAAAATGGTTTTTATTCAAATCTGTTTTGATTGAAGTTGGATAACTTAAATTCAAAACTTCGAAATGGATATAGGCCCTAGGCCTATGTTGCATCAACCTTTCTTTACTGCAGTTAGTTACTAATTAGTTTAGGGCCATAATAGACATATTATAGTTATAGAAGAATGTGTAAGTTTATTCTGGTCCCAGCCTGGTCTTAGAAATGAGCTGTTCAAAATTGTAATTGATTGAGTTTTTCCGAAGTTTTTCAGTCTTTAAGTTGGGTGTCGGCTAACTCGTACACATGCCAACTCATCATACACAATTTGGCGAACTCGTACACATGACTTTTGCCGAAGTCATACCCAAATGCATTTTTGATAGGTCAATTTTTCTTAGTTTTCGTCCAGATTAGATCAAACTCGCTGCATCAATAGGGTCATCAAATAACAAACTGCCAGAGGGATAGGTTTGGACGGCAGAAACATGCACTCTCAAGTAAAAAAATGAAGTGTGGACGAATTACTGCAAAGACAGAAGTAGGTCAGATGCTCAAAAATACAAATTTCTGGTGCAACACGTGCGCGCGATGGCAGTGAATATGTCACGTGTGTTCACCTATTTCACTGACATATCACCATCAACTTTGCATCATCTGCTATCTGCTGATCTTATTTATAAAATACACAAATATGGTAGATGGAATTATAGTAAAACATAGTATTAATATAATTTATAAAATAATACATATACAGGTACTAACTATAAAATGAGGTGAAGGTGTAGGTGTATATAACAGCAACTTCATTGATAATTTTCAAAAAATTCAGATATAAAAGTATATTTGATTTTAAAAATTAATAAATACCACAGCAACAAAGGCCTACGCATAGGCATACCGTAAAACCTTGAATTCAACCCCAGTGGGCTTAATCTGGAGATGAAGCCCATCTCGGATTGAAGCCTCTCTTTTTAGTTTGCAAAAGTAGCCTCGAGAAGAAGGCCATCTTGAAAAGAAGCCCATGGGCTTCTTTTGTATGAGCTGCTGTAGCCAATGGTGTGTACGGCTTGCCAAAATTTTGGCCCTTAAGCATGAGAGTGCGAGATAGACCCCGAGTTCACAAGACTCGTGCTGAATGCGTAAGACTTGGTATGTCTGCATTCTTAATCTGAAGATACTTATGTTATTTACCATCAAATTAATACAGAATTCTTCCACTGTTTTTTCAAGCTTTGCTATTTTTTGCTTCGTAGCTTTTACAAAGCAAACTTCTTGAATTTCTAAATAAAATTCCTGAAAATAATATTATTTTCTTTAAAAAAAAGCCTGGAAGAAGGAGAGCGTATCTTGGCTCAGTTTGTGAGTGAGAATGGAGAGACTGCCGGGGCACCATTTGATCTGCCTCTTGATATAACTGCTGACAAACTTCAACTAGTGTGCAATGCAGTACTACAGAAGGTATGATATATGATGTGCTATGCATATTTATTTTAGAATATTTATCTTGAGGATTGTTCGATTTGCTGAGAAATACAAGATCTAAGCTATAATATGTAATAATACTAATAGTACAGTAAGTTATTTAAAAACAAAGAATGAAAATCATTTTCCAATTATTCTCTTCCTTATTTCTACTCTTAAATTTCAATCATTGGTAACTTATTGTGATTTATTTGGAAAAGATTAGTTTTTGGACATTTTTCTTGACTAAACAGGCTTAAAGAGTTATTTGAATTTCTCTAGACAAAAATTAAATACACATTCTGTACTTAAACAGTGTAGTTATCTTTTAAGTTTTGTGAAAAAAAAAACATTAAATAACGTAAACTAATTGATTTATTCATTGATAGCTACAAGTGGCATGCTTCTGTTCAATTAAAAATAATTGAGATTATGTTAAAACTGATGTTGAATGATACATAGGAAGGTATTTATCATTCAACATCAGTTTCAACATAATTGAGATTATGTTGAAACTGATGTTGAATGATAAATACCTTCCTATGTATTATTACATTAGTTTTTATTTACATTATTATAATTTTTGAGAATTTCTAAATCAATAATTTCCAAGAAATGTTCCCAATATCATTAAAATATAAATCAATTTTGTCTACTTGTGTTTCAGGAAGAAACTACTCCTTACTCATTTTTTGTGGATGAGACTGAAATCAGAGGAAGTATCAGAGAAAGTGTAGACAGCAGTAAACAAGAGACAGAGAAAGTTCTACAAATTGTATACCTACCCCAGGCTGTGTTTAGGGTACGACCTGTGACACGATGTACTAGCTCAATAGAGGGCCATGCTGAGGCGGTCATATCTGTCGCATTTAGTCCAGATGGAAGGTATTATAATCACTGATTTTTAGGTGTTAAACTGATATTACAGTATTTAAAATGTACATGATCAATATATATGAAAATTGAGTGATGATAATGACATGTTTGTTATCTTGATAGGTATCTTGCAAGTGGGTCTGGTGATACAACAGTCAGATTCTGGGACGTTAACACTGAAACACCGCACCACACTTGCAAAGGTAAGACGCAAGAATGGTAAACGAATGCCTGTATTCATTAAGAAATTTTAGTTCAGGTTTGCCAAATAAAGTTAATTCATTTTCTTAAAACAAATGTCAACTAGAACAACTATTTCACATGCACATCGATTTGTAGATGGCTGGTTTTCTCAAAATTTTATAACAAAAATGCTCAAATTATTTTAATACTGTTTTTGTCTGATGATGGACCTTTCCATTAGGCCATGCCTCTTGGATATTGTTGCTAAGATCCCACAAAGCAACAGTGTAAAAACATAAAAAAACACGCATTTGTGGAGCAACGTGTGTGCTTTTGAGAGCAGGCATATTCCTGGCCCTCTCTTCTGACTAGTCAGTTGATAAGTTTGGTTGACACTCCTCAAAGGTCAATTGTATCTCGTCTTTTATCTGTGTTTTTATACACATTTGCGTCCACATCCGGTCTACATTTCTTTTTGTATTGCAATAAATTTAAATTTATTAATAATAATTGTTTGTTTTTCACTTTAAAAATTGTTATTGCTGTTATTTTTTGAATGATTCAATTTCACTTGTTTCAATTTTAGGTCATAAACATTGGGTATTGTGCATATCATGGTCTCCTGATGGTTTCAAATTAGCCTCTGGTTGCAAAAATAGTCAGGTACCGTACATCCAATGATCTTACATCCTCTACTTGCTTAAATTACCTTGTCCATAGTTACCTGTGGTTCATCACATGATCTTACTGTACTTATTTTCCAGATTTTCATTTGGGATCCAAAAACTGGAAAACAACTTGGCAAGCCACTTACTGGTCATAAGCAGTGGATAACATGGTTGTCATGGGAACCATTTCATCTCAATTCCAATTGTAGATATCTTGCTAGTTCATCTAAAGATGGCACAATACGAATATGGGACACTATGATTGGTCAAACTGTTAAAGTTTTATCTGGGCATGTGCAGTGTGTATCGTGTGTGAAGTGGGGTGGAACTGGTCTTCTGTATTCAGCTTCCCAGGACCGGACTATTAAAGTATGGAGGGCTTCCGATGTAAGTATTTGCGTCTTTTTATTGCAAATACTATTTACACTGATTTCACTCACCTTAATATTCCATGTTTTATTCAGACTATTTACTAGTATGAGAAGTGGAGTAGTTAATTGATAGAATTAGAATATATTTTTCCATGTTTTATAACAACACTTTATAATTGTTGTGGATTGTCAGATATGAAACCAAATTACGTAAACAGAGCAAATTTATCAGTTCCATGCCGACTTTGTGCAGTCTACTAATACCAACATAAAAAGTGGGGTGTAACCAAGAAGAAAATTTAAATACCATGATTTAGCCAAAGGAAAAAGTGGACTTCTGTCCATGGTATGACTCCTTAAAGTACAACCGATTTGATCAAGGTGAAAAAGTCCTGAGGATGAATTCCAAACCCCGGCTCTTTGAGATCGTCTCTTGCCCAAATCACCACTAGAAGGCCCCACTGGAAGTAAGTCTTTTGTAGGTTATCATTTAAATATATAAGTTAATTGTTATATATATTGATATTTTTTTATCTATTAGGGGGTCATGTGTCGAACACTTAATGGACATGGCCATTGGGTTAACACTATGGCATTAAGTACAGACTATGTGATGAGGACTGGTGCTTTTAATCCTGCTGATGCTACAGTAGTCCATCAACCAATAACTGAGACAGGTAGGCAAATTTGATCATGAATATGTATGAAAATTTGTACTGACTAGTATTATGAACTTGTTGTTTTAATTCTGCAATGATGCATCCATCAAATAATAAATTAATTAATCATACATATATATATAT